GGTTGCCTTTTCACTTTGTTGGTAATTTTTTTTGACGTAAAAAAACTTCTCATTAAGAGCAGGTCCCAGTTGTTAATTCTTTCAACTGTTTCCCATGAGATTTGATTTCTGTTCATGAAGTCTTTGCCTACCCCTATGTCTTCAAGAGTTCCTCCCACTTTCTCTTACAGGAGATTTAGTGTCTCTGCTTTAATGTTTAGATCTTTAATCCATTTTGACTTTAGTGCATGGTGATAGGTTTTAAAACCTGGGTCAAGTTTTATTTTTCGGCATATAGAGAGCCAGTTTTTCCAGCACCATTTGTTAAAGAGGCTATCTTTCTTCCAGTGAGTATGTTTGGCCCCTTTGTCAAAGATAATATGGCTGAGTGTGTTCATAGGGGCTTCGGCGTCTTCTAATCTATTCCATTGATCCTCAGGTCTATTTTGTTGCCAGTATCATGCTGATTTTATCACAGTAGCCTTGTAGTATAATTTCAAGTCAGGAATTGTAATGCCTCCTGCCTTGTCCTTATTGCCCATAATTGCCTTTGCTATTCTAGGTCTTTTCTGGTTCCAGAGGGGCTTACTTTAAAAGGTATTCTACTCTACTCTTATGTTGTGTTTGTCCTTTCTCACATTGGTTTCACAGTGCTTCCTCTATTGCAGCTTTATAATAAATCTTTTTTTTAAAATTAATTTTATTGAGAAACAAATAGCAATGAGACAGCTTCAAAACCAATTATTAGGACAGTTTTAACAATCAATACATTGCACATTGTTGTCTTCACAGTGGTTATCCATAGTACAGATGCAGACATGATATCCTGTCCAAACACTATTAGTACAAATCTTTCTTCTCATTGGATTAAGAGAAAGTAGCTGTATATCTATCCTAACTATTTTGAACATACAGATACAAAGTAGTCCTTCATTTGTATCCCCTTTTTTGGTTTAGTTTTGTTAGAGAAGGGTATTCCATTGTCATTTAAATATTGTAGGTGCGTGAACTCAGCCAAATAATCCAATATAGTCCAGTAGTCCACAATAGTAGTGGGTTATCCACAGGACTGGCAATGTTAGAAGTTGGCTTGAGCCTTCCACAGCTCAGCATATTAACATGGCCTCACTCTTCATGTGTCGCTTCTATACTTTGTACTGGATGGTTAAGACCAAGATAAAGCAAGACCTATATAACAAGAAATGTAACTTTTGTATCTGACAAGACCAGTCAAATCCCCTCAGGATTTACCGTAAAACCGTGTACCACAGTTTGTAGATCCTTTGTTAGTGTCAGCCATGTGGATGCATCGTGGCCATTGCTTGACCAATTTACTCTCTGGGAAAGTCTGAGAGAATGTTTGCTCTCCATGTGACTCTCCTTAGGCACACACTACATCACATTCGAACCACTTACCCCCTACTGGGAATTTTCCCAGAGGAACTGAAAATGTCATATCATAGTGATATATGTGTGCCTATGTTTATAGCAGCCCAATTTGTGATAGCCAAATCTTGGAAACAACCAAGATGCCTGTCACCTGAGAAATGGATGAAAAAGATGTAGTATTTTTATACAATGGAGTGTTACTCAGCTATAAAGAATGATAAACTGGAAGAGTTTATATTTAAGTGGATGTCACTTGAAGATATGCTCATAAGTGAAATAAACCAGATCCACATGTGTAAATATTGTATAGTTGGGGCCAGGGAGATGGCTCTGTGGAATAAGCACTTGCCTGGCAAACTCAGGGGCCTGAGTTCAATCCCTGGTTCCGAAAAAAAAAAAAAAAAAAAAATCATATAGTCTCCTTAGTGTAAGAACTCAAAAGAAGAAATAAAAATAGAAAGGTATAACACAATTAAAAGGAAAATGAGAATTTAAGGATTAAATAACGAAGAGAGGGCAAGGAGAAAAGCTTGGAAAAATGACATGATATTCCATCTAAACACTGCAAAGCCATACATTTATATGCACAAGATGGTGAAGGCAATAATCCTGAGAATCTTCAGTAGGTTTTTGAAACAGGTAGTTAATTGGTAGGATTCTGACTCTGACTGACTGTATATGCTGATACCTGTGAATTAAGCAACTACACTGAAGATAGCAATGTAGGGTCATGCTTAGAATGCCTGTTATTCCGGTCTTCTAAATACATACTGCTTGTCATGTCATATCAATTACTGCTATACTGTCTCTCAAGTAAATGTTTGTTTTATAAAAAGGGTAATAAATGGAAACAAGAGACCAAAAAAAAATGTCATAGGGTTGTCCTGCTACAATTCTGTATATGGTTAGATTTATAAAAATCTTAACACCTGCCAGAGTGAGTCCATTCGCTGTATTCTTTTTATAAAGACTGCCTGGGCTATTCTTGGCCTTTGCTTTTCCATGTGAGGTTTAAGACAGCTTGTCAGGGTTCATGAAGCATGATCTTGGGATTTGATTATTATGTTGTATTCATAGGGCAGCTGTGGAAGAATTTATATTTTCATAATAATTTTTCTAGTTATGAAAATGACATGGTTCTTTTTTGAGATAAAATATTGTATATTTACTTAAAACTTTTCACCTTGAGTATGCAAAATACAAACTGCACAACATGTTCATTTCTTTACTTTGTGGTTTATAAATATATAAAATGGAAATTTTTTTATCAAATAGAAATTTGCTTAAATTTTTTATTACATATTTATCAATGCAAGAAACTATATAGAAAAAAGACATTTGTCCTGTTTTTTAAGGCATACTTGGGAATAATCCACTGTACAAATTATTGCACATCTGAAACCACAGTGCATATAACACACTGTCTACATAAACACATTACAGAAGTAAACCAGGTATATTTACCTGACTTAGGTAATAAATGTAGATTGGAAGACAAAAATAGATTTTGCTTGTCAAAGTATGCAGCAGTTTGAGAAAAGCATCAGCTTCCTCATTTGGTACCTTTAGAACCAAGACTCATCAGGCACCATCATGTAGGTAATTAAAACACATTTTCTGTACCTGAATTTCTTCCTTTTCTAGCATGCTAATGGCTTTTACAAGGCAAAGAGAATACAAGATGATCTTTATACTTATATTGCATTGAAACCAGGAAAATCTTGGTCTTCCCGCCCTCCCACACATGAATCTGATTTATACCCTGATATCCATAACTTCCA